GATAACATGGTGTCCATTTTAGGGCTTCTGGTGCAAGGCAAACTCTTTACAAAAGAATCTAACACAAGTACCAGTGAACATAATCGTATAATTAAATAGTATACAAACCAACTAACCACTAATGGCTAATCTCTGATTAACATGTAGAATGGCTTGCATAATGCAGGACAACATCCAGTGATCTACCTTTCATTTCCTGGCAAAATGTCACTGTAATTAATAACCGTTTTGGGGTTGCAATAACCTTGAATCATCATGGACACTGAAGACATGCTGACAGATTTTCACCTTTGATTTGCTACTTTGGGACTCAAAGTCTCTTGGTTGCAAAAGATTAGATTTCTGTTTTGCTTTTGATTCCCCTGTAGTGGGACAGACCCATTTCCCAAATATCTACACTGAAGCCAAAGCTCATAGAAATTCAATAAAATTCATTAGCACGCGTTTCTCATTAACCTCCTCTACATTTTCTGAATTCCTAACTAACACAGCCTTAATCAAGATTAAGCCCAAACATGTGGGTTGCTGACAGATAAATTTCCAAGGCTCCTGCTATCGTTTTGGCCAGTGAACTGTGTTCTTTGGTTTTCAGGTCCAGGCTGTGATTTTAGTGCAATTCTGTCATTTTTATGCCCTGGTGAGTCTAGACAACTCTGAGACGCTTGTCTAACCCATTACAGTTAGACTATTTTCTCTCCTCCTCCATGATTACCCACACTTGAAGATGCAGGTGTATGAGTATGTGTGTGCGTGTGCGTGTGCATACATGTGATACATACATTTAACTATGAAATTTAAAAAAAAATGAGGAATGCACATTGTATTTACCCTCCCCAAACACTTTTAACACATAAGAAGCAGGCAACAAGTGAATGAATTCTCAAACTTACCTTTCTGATTTTTAGCAAATTATGTTCTATCTCTACCTGGCTTTAAAGCACATTTAACACTGCTTAATTTAGAAGAAGTGGGTTTCTTCGAAGTGTGCAAGATCCAAATTATTATGAGAAAGAAAAATGAGCTGTGATGATGGATAGTTTGGTTCCCCACATGGGTTCTGCTCTACACAACGACAACATGCATGCTTACCTCTACACACATACATCTATGCAACAGTATTAATTTCATAAACATTTTCTGAAAATTCATAACATTGAATAAGACAAAAATACCGAAGCCCAAATCCCTAGTTCTAACCTAACTTGTCAGTCTCTGTGATTAGGTACGGGGACGAACAGCAGTGGACCAGGCCTCTCCCACACACATTATGTTCATCATGTTAGTACACTATGGGTTCCTGCTTTGGAATTGTCATTTAAGTATGGAATAGCTTAAGAACTCAGAAGATTTTGTTTACTCTTTCTAGAATTGAAGGTAACACCATTTTGAACACTGTTAGGAGGTTCCTGAACATGTGAAGAATGAATGCTCATGATTGCCTCAGAGATGTTAATAATGAGAAGAAACCACAGTTACTTCAAACATAGCCAAGAATATGCTTAGAGATTCGTCAGTCAATAATTCATCTTATCCAAAAAAATGGCCTAACAGGAACATTTGTGCTACAGCATTCATATCATTTAGCTTTATATATGAATTGGATTTATGGAATATATGAAACATATATTCAAGCTTCTAAGGATGGAGCCAGAGGACAAAAGCAGTATGCATAACACAACCTTGTATTGTCAAGAAGAAGGGCTTCAGTGGAGTTACGGTGGTTTGACTTGTAATCAGATGAGGATCTGTTTGGATCAGAAGTCTTCTCCGAGGAAATCTGGATTCAGACCCAGAACCTGACGGTGCCTGCCTGCTTGTGTTAACCTGTTACCCATGTTTATCATGTTATATACAGTCAGAAGGATCTGGATCTGCAATTCACACCTCAGGGACTGTGTCTTTGCCGGGAAGTAACCATTTAAATTTACTGGTTGGAGGATATAATTAGGACCATGTTACTCAGAATTTGGCAAAGAAGCCTTGACTTTAATGAGCACTAATAATTCTATATAGGTCTTTTGTCCATTCTATAGGGAACAACATTTCTTAAAATCATTTTAATCAACATGTAATAACTATAGATACTGGCATGCTACAGTCCATTTTAGTGTGTAATTTTGATGCATGTTAGTGTATCCATCATCTCAAACATCTGTCATTTCTGTGTGGTGAGAACACTCAAAACCCTGTACTTTAGCTATTTTGAAATATACAGTACATTATTGTTAACTGCGATTACTCTGACACCACTACTCATTCCTTTTATCTCTGTATTTTTCCTGTCAATCACCAACCTCTATACCCCTTCCCTTTCCCAGTAACTGGCAACCACCATTCTCTCTGCTTCTATGAAATCAATTACTTAGCTTCCACATTTAGGTGAAAGCATGGACTATTCATCTTCCTGTGCTGACTTAGTTTCCCCAACATTACATCATTCACGTACTAGCAGAGAAAGGGTTGCTCTGTCCATGACATGGAGCCACTGAGCTTGCTGAAAAATAACTTATTAGCTTACTGTCCTCAGAAAGCATCTCAGATCCACCCTTGAAACTCTTTCTCAAACAACACTGGAAAGTTCCAGCTAGGTTTTTTTTAATATGGGTCAAGCTTTGGAAGGTATAGTATTCCTTGCAATTTGGGCCTTTACATTTTCTTCCTGGTGCAATCACTGCAAGAGGATGAGGCAAAGCAATGAGAAAAGGAAGCAAACAAAACAAAACAAAAATAAAAACAAAAAGGCAGAGTCCGGAACCCAGGTCTTTGAGGAGCACAGACTATATTTGGGGCCAGATAGTCCCTGAACAGGTTATTCTATTTTCTCAGTCCCTGGACAGGCCAGTCTAACTTCTCAGATAGTCCCTGGACAGCTCAGTCTAACTTCTCAGATAGTCCCTGGACAGCTCAGTCTAACTTCTTAGATAGTCCCTGGACAGCTCAGTCTAACTTCTCAGCATCATGAACAAGGTGGTGCCTTGGATTTTTTTTTCCAGTATGCTAGAAATTGCTCTGTAAAATGACTGTTGGGACTTACAGATGAATGGCTAATAAATGTCCCCTACAAAATATCAAAATTTGTGATAATTTCCATTTAAATAAACATGTCTTCTGTATTGTACAATAAACTGAGTTTAGGTCATTCGATAGAATTTAAATTCCAGATAGTCAAAAGAATAGAGTACTTTACCTTAGAGGTCCTCTGTCTATGAAGATGACCTCTTAGACCCAGAGAGCCATTTTCGAAAACATATTCCCAGAGAAGCTCTCGTAGTCTCCCTGAACTCGTGTCTTAGTGTATAATTAATGGTTAGTGTCAAGGACTCTGGCCATCAAGGGCGCCATTATGGCTTTGGTCACCACCATTATTTATTCCATAGTGAGTCACATTCCACTTAGGTTTAGAGTTAAGTCATTTTCTCTGAGAAGGTAAATGACCTCTTCCTGGGTCCTCCTGGGACATTAATTATCTAGCCAAAGTTATCTATAAGAGTTAAAATCTAATTATTTACAAAATAAGGTTTCTGAAAAGGAACACTGTGTTCAAAAGCCATGGAGATCAAGAGACCGTGGCAGTTGAATCTATGCCCTCTCTGTGTGCATCTGTGTGCCTGGATCACTCCCACGTGCCTGCCATGCCTCTTCCCATTTCCCTGTGGTTCTTCATTTGCTCTCTGAACTACTTCTTCTGATCTGCTCTTCCTTTCTCGGACCCAGTCTTTGCTACTATCCAGAAACTACATGCAGAATTCACATCCTTCCTCTCTGTCAAGGGGCTCTCCCCATTGGCTAAGAATGATCAGAACTGGGTTCAAATCCCAGCTTCACTTCTTAGTAATCTTGTGGCATTTTATAAGGTTTTGTTTTGTCTTAATTGGTTTTTAGAAGCTGTAGTTCTTGAGTAAATCTAAAATGTAATTAAATGTAATTTCATTATGCTTCCAGAGACTTAGAAAATCAAGAACAAGAATGATTTTCTGATGAACTTTTAAAGCTGCTCCAAGTTTCAGTTTCCTCACCCATAAAACATAATTAATATGAAGGTGTCTGATGGTTATTATAAAGATTAACTCAGATAAATAATTCTGTACTAAGAATGTGTCTGACAGATAAGCACGTGATATAACATTGCTTAAAAAACATCCCATGGTTTTTATTGAGTTTTAAAAACTTTATTTATGAGTATTTTTCTAATGCTCTACTCACATTTTGTTACTGTCCCCTCGGCTATGGCTCTCAGCTCTTATGTGACATTGGTATCACACAAGTGGCTTTGGCACAGTGACAGAGCCCTGGATTAGGAATTGTGTGGTGTGGGATGGAGTTCAGACCCTGTCACGTATTAGCTAGACTCTAATTAGGTCAGGAGCTTGAACTTTCTGAGCCTGATTTTACTCATAGCAGGAAGGTCATTCAGAAAGATGTCTTAATCCATGCTACGTCCTGTTGTAAATTCCTTATATGTATTGGACTCATTCAATATCCTTTGCAAACACTTTCCGAGGAAGCTGCTCTTATCTCTTCTGTGGAGATGGGGACCTTGTGGCTTGGAAAGGAAGAGCTGCTTGCATGGTAGAGGCAGGACTGAAAGCTTGGCATGTGCCTGTGACCACCACTCCTGGAAAGGCTTTCTGTTCTCTCATGTGGCCTGCGAAGGGCGTGGCTGCCCCTGCCTGTTGGGCTCTGTGGGGCTGTTTTCTGTCTGTTTCATTTCCCTGTGAGAGTGTAAACTTCCTCAGAGGATAGGGCATGCTTCTGGGTTTGATCTCTCCTTTTGTCCTGGTACCAAGCATGGCAGTGAATTACAATTTGCATTTAATAAATTTCCTGTTGACTTAAATGTGCGCTCTTTAGCTTTCTCTCCTGAGGGCTCTCGCGCCTGCTAAGTGAGTGCTAGGCAGTGATGACTGAGTGTGGTCACCATTGTGATCCTAATAATAACAGTAATGTCAAAGGCTGCTGTACACGTACTGCAGGCATTGCATGTGGATTTTCTCATTCAGGAGTTGGCAACCCTTAGGAATTGGAAGAAGGAGAAGAAGAAGAAGAAGAAGAAGAAGAAGAAGAAGAAGAAGAAGAAGAAGAAGAAGAAGAAGAAGAAGAAGAAGAAACTGAATTACAGATTACACTTAACCTGTTTTGTAATAGATGGGGAAACTGAGGACCAGGACAAATGGGTAACTGTCTTAATATTTCAGAACAAGTGAGAGGTAATACTTAGAAACTGCTGTCTGAAATTGCTATTGCCGTTGAGAGGCCCCTCCACCCTGCCCAATCAAAGGTAGACACGGGATGAGCACTATCAATATTTCTAAACCACCTTCTAATTTGTCATTTTATAATAATTCACTGCAAAAACTATTTTTGAAAGCGTGCTTTTAGTTTGTGGTACACGCCATCCTTTTTAGCCATCTTAAGCGTACTGTTTAAGTTCACTAAAACACACACAGCTATCACCACTATTCGTCTTCAGAACCTGTCTATCATCCCACACTGAAAATCTGCACTCATTTCACATTAACTTCCCATTCTCCCTTCATCCCAGGATGTAAATATGTTTTCTTCCGAGACATGAACAAGGCCATTTGAACTCTGGAGGGCCGTCTGACTGAGAACTTTGGTCACAGAGGCCCCTGAGACATTGTCTAGCTGTGAATATCTGACTCACCATGGTCTCAGCCTTGAGACTTTCTTAGCCTTTTACTTCCTATCTGACAGCAGCAGGCCTGGGGCGGAGAGGGCTTTGGGGACAGGCTGCTTATCCTATCTGCATCAGGCTTTAAAGATTTTTCCTGTCTTTACAGCTTGTTCAGTTTCCTCCGTTGTAGCTGCATCCCCGTGGCGCGGGCCCAGAATTTATGAGTCATCGGCCTTATTTACTTCAGAGAGAGTTACAATGGCGAAAGGAAATGGCCGAATTTATTTATTTGACATGGATCTACTGACTCTCAGGGTGAGGAAGGAGGATCTTTTATCTTCTAGGCAGAAAACGACAGTGTCCCGGTAATGGATAGAGCTGAGATGAAGCATCCAGGCTATAAATACTAGGCTTTATCCATTTGTATACATAAAGAGCACACAGAGGGCAACCAGCAGCCCCGGACCTCTGTTCTTGCTGCCCCTTCCTAGGTATTCCCGACTGTAGGTAGTGGGAAACTGTTCATCCGTTTAGTCCAGTTCGTGAGACAGACACAGATTTCGGACCAAATCTCACAGACAGTCATCATTGCATTCCACTCCTTTTGCTCTCCCTTCAATGCCCGTCATCCTTGACATGCACATTCCCCATTTTCCTCCCCTCTGGCATACGTGTCTTCTTTCACACACACTAGAAATCCCATGTCCTTCCTGTCCAGCTTTAATGAATACCTTCTTTCACTTCCCCAGATGCCTTCAGACGATTTATGCTTCTATGCAGCCTTCCTTGACAATCAAAAATGAGTTGCTAGTGGTTTCATTAACTTCTTTCGTGTTGGCCTTTATTGATACACAGCTCTAAACTCGTTTCATTTAAAACAACATTTGCTTAGTGACAATCGGTGACTAAGAGCACCTTAGAGCCTCCAGCTTCTCCTTGGAGCAGAGATCAAGGGGCAGATATGGGGCCTTCCAGAAGCAGAGACTGATGTTGCTAAGTTTAGAACATCACATGAAGAGAATAAAGTAGTTTTGTTTTAAGTTATTCATTTCCCACAGTTTAAAATTGGGATCCAAATCAGACAACAGTTGGATGTTACGGCTTGAGTTAGACGTAAGGTCTACTATAGTCCAATGCATTGCACTTTGTATCGCAGAGAAGCATTAAGAACCGAACTGTAGTTTCCATCAGTAACTCACACGTTTTTCCTTACTATTGACTTAGCTATCTGACTCTTGTTACTGTATGTCCTCTGTTTGAGACATATGGACCATGTTCTTCTTATGGTGCATAGGATGATGGCAGTCATTTTATATGCAAATGAGGTGGAGAGATAAAGATTAGACTCACGTCTAGGACAACTGTTGGCATATTCATGGTGGTGGGAAAAAAGAGTTAGTTTTAGAGTTTTCAGATGAGGACTACCTTTCCACCTGTGTTCCCTTTTGCTCTGTGACAACAGGCAGGCAGCTTGGTGACTATAGGGGTTTTAAATTATTTCCATAGTTTTTAAAAGTTGCCCCCTGAAATATAGCTTGCTAGTCTAAAGTATTCAGAGATGCTATCAACTGAATTAGAGTATGCTAGGTACTGTAACAAAAGTGCTTTTAAAGTTCTCCAGCAATTCCAATTTTTTTTAAAAAAATCAAGTTATATACCCTTTATTTGCATAAGTTTGCAAAACAAACAATGAAAATATAGAAACAAATGAAAATTATTGCCCACAAGAGTGTGGAACACACAGGCTAGAAAGAAAAGAGAGATGGAAAGATTAGGGTCATCTAGTTACATAATTTGTCTTTGAAATTATGTGAATATTTTATAAAATCAAACAACAAAGCCAAATAAAAAAATGCAAAGCTCCAGAGTGAAGGATGAAATGAAAGAAATATAAATGGTTACTGATTTTGTGACAATGGTTTGAATGGCCGTGGCTCAGAAGTGATACAAAGGACTTTCCTGATTGGCCAGTGGCTTTCAGTGTTGGTTTAGGGAACCAGATCAACTGCCTTCTGAAGTTCTGTTATCTTTAAAATATAGCCCCAGGGTAATTGTGTCCAGCTCCATCAACTTGGGTTAAAAAAGAGGGTAGAGCATATGGCTATTTTTTTGAATGGACTTTCCCTGAGCTCCTGACTATCACTTCAGCTCCTGAAGACACATGGTCACAGGCAGAGGAAGAAAGGTTGGATCTGAGAGACAGATGGCCCACGTCTGCTGCCTCAGGGTAGAATATAACACAACCATTTCTTCTGATTTTATAAAATCCCTGCTAATAGACTTGTAGGACTTAAACTTCTTTATGACAAAACACATATGACTCAAAATTAGATGACAGAGATACACTTTAAGAAGATACTTCATGACTCTGTTGACTCATATTGCAATAAACAGTCAGCCAAAAATGTTGAATTCTTCTTAAAAGAAACACTAAATATGCTGACTAGTTTTGTTAACTTGATACAAGCTATAGTCATGTACGAGGGAACCTCGACTGAGAAAATGCCTCCATTAGATCCGGCTGTGGCCAGTCTGGACAACACTTTCTTAATTAGTGATTGATGGGAGGGAAAGCAGGCTGAGCAAGCCACAAGGAGGAAGCCAGCAAACAGCATTCCTCCATGGCCTCTTCAGCTGCTATCTCAGGGTCCTACCCTGCTTGAGTTCCTGTCCTGATTTTCTTCAGTGATGGGCTATGATGTGGAAGTATAAGATGAATAAATTCTTTTCTCCCCAACTTGGCTTTGGTCATGGTGTTTCATCACAGCAATAGGAACTCTTACTAGGACACTAAATCAGATCCTCTGGTCATTCATAAAATCATTGTTATACTTTAAGCCATGGAATAACAAAACCAGACCTTCAGGGGACAGTGCAATCCTAGCTACTTAGGAGACTGAGTCAGGAGGAGAACAAGCTTGCTGTGGATATCACTCTGTATAAATAAAACACTGATTGGCCAGTGGCCAGGCAGGAATAGGCGTGACAAGGAGAGAGGAGAACTCTGGGAAGTGGAAGGCTGAGTGGGAGAGACACTGCCAGCCGCCACCATGACAAACAGCATGTGAAGACGCCAATAAGCCACGAGCCACGTGGCAAGGTATAGATTTATAGAAATGGATTAATTTAAGATATAAGAACTAGATAGCTAGAAGCCTGAGCCATTAGGCCTAACAGTTTAAACAATATAAGTCTCTGTGTTTACTTGGTTGGGTCTGAGCAGCTGTGGGACTGACAGGTGACAGAGATTTGTCCTGACTGTGGGCCAGGCAGGAAAACTCTAGCTACACAAGCTCAAAGCTTTCATGGGCTACAAAACAAGGTCAAGGTTAGATAGACAAGTTTGTGACCACCTTACCCCCATCTTGTAGGAAAGGGCTGGGAATACAGTTCTGAGGTAGAAGGGTTGCCTAGCACGCACAAGGTCCTATTTTCATTTACTAGCACAGTAAAGGAACAAACAAAACCTTCTCTTAAAGCTGGGATGTATATTTCTATACTATTTTAGACTCATTATTCTAAATCTTTCACACTTTTATCTATTTTGTTACAGAGATTTTTTGGTAGTCACACATCTAGTTACAATTTCTCCTTTTCTCTTTGGCAGAGACATTATATGTGAGAAAAGGTACAACATGTATTATATAATAAGTTGGTGTTGTGTGTTGTATATTTTCTGTATTTATAGTTTTGAGGGTCATGTTAGAACCTTCATGTGCACTGATCTTTTCAATATTCACACAATAATCTAACTAAGTAGGGGCCATCACCTTCCCTATAAAGATGAAGGAACCGAGAGCTGTATGGGGTGAATTATTTGCTAATATACATAATCTGAGGGCTGGGAACTATCAGATTCATCTGAGTGTGTCTCACTTCAAAGCTGAATTATACATTGTTCTTTTAAGCCATTAAGTTTACATAGGCAATATTGTTTATAAAAGACTGAAATAGAGAGAGGGCACACATGGTGGATGGAGAGGGAAGAGTCACTAAACTCTAAATAAAGGCAAGATTAGGGGAACAGCTGGAAGCACAGAGGGTAGCAGGGGTTATTCACATACTGCATTGTCTCTGAGGACAAACAACTCTTCTGGTAAACAAGGATGCTCTGAGCTTTGTCAGACAAGTGATAAAATGAAGGCCTCAGGGTGTAGGGAATCAGACCTAACTTGAAGTCACTGTCACTGTGATGACCAAGTGGCCAAACCTGCTTAAGACATTCATTGTTTGATTTGTCTTTCCCCTGATGCACACTGTCCTTGTCCTGTTGGAGGAGAAATTAATATTCATGACTGAACTTAGGAAACACTCACAGGGAAGCCGTCAAAGCGCCACGGCCACGTGGAAAGGTTGGGGAGACAGCTCAGTTGGGAGAGTGCTTGCCTAACATGCCTAAGTCCTAGTTTGATCCCTAGCAGCGTATAAGACTGGATGTAGTGACCCGGGTTCCTGATCCCTGCACACTCAGGAAGTAAAGGCAGGAGGATCAGAATTTCAAGGTCATTATCAGCTCCACAAGGAGTTCAAGGCCATCCTGGGACATGCAAGACTCTGCCTCAAAATACTAACAGAAAGGAACTCAAGGATGACTCCCAGACAACCTGCTTGTTTCTAGGACCATGTCTTACCTTCCTGGGAGGTAAAGGAACTACAATGAACTATGGAGGTCATGTATACAGACTAATGACTGCATCTGTTTTTAAAATCATTCAGGCAATTGCAGCAAACAAGGAAAAATATCACCACCAACATCACACACACATAGTTTATCTTTCCTTATTGTAGTGAATTACTTAAGGTCTATTGATTTCTTTCCATAGCCAAATACACTGTTTTCCCAAATTGATTGGGAAGCATCAATACTGTTCCATTTAAGGGTTGTTGCACTTCCCCCAAAATATTGACTTATTTGTTGGTGTGTATTTAACAACAACAACAACAAAAAAAAACCTTCACATTTATGTTACTGACATCCATATGAGGGGAGAGGAATGTGGAAAGAGAAATAGATTTGAGAAATTTCAAAAATTTCAAAACACAGATCATTTACACATAATTCACCCACAGAAATTATGATACTATCTAATACTATGGATTATATTTTAAATTTTCATTGACCTTATATACATCAATATTTGTAGCTTTAATGAATCATTTTCTTCTAATTCTTGGTAAAAAGCATTGGATTAGCATATCATGAGTCTCTGGATTTAGGAACAGATACAAGGATTTGTGTGTCTCAGAATCATCAATGGACTTTTTGGGTATAAGCTGTAGTTGGAAATAGCACACAGGATTGATATCACTCTAGTTATTAATAACAACATCAAAAATACATTAAGTGCATTAGAAAGGCTTTGCAATCTGCAACTGGGAAAGGGAAATGAAGAATCAAATTGGAGAAGGTTTACAAATAATTTATCAGGCAATCCTGGTAAGAAGACTAGCAGTCGAAAATATTCCAAACATCCTAAGTCTGGCAAGGACTTTAAGCACATATTATTCTTTGAAAATGCAGGTACTGTTTTCCCAGTTTACAGTGGGTTCTGGTATTGGTAGTTCTTTCCAAAACTTGTATAGAAACTTTAGTGGCATCATAACTTGAAATGCAAGAAGACCCTCTGAGGCCACAAGACTATGGGGCTCTACTCTTGTGAATGCACTGATGTGAATAGTGAGTGCCTAATAAAAACCTGAATTCAACTACTTTAGTTTTTTTTCTTTCTTTTCATACTTATTATCCTTCAGGCATGTTATGCTGTAGTGTGGAAATCCTAGTCAGATTCTAAACCAATATCTGCATCATATTCTTAGGCCTGCTAACCCTCAAAACTGGGCCAGATAAACTTGTACTGTGTATCTATTATCTATTCTGTAGTATTATGTTTTAGCAGATGACCATGGACGAAGAAGTGGGGGTGTTACCCAAATTGCTTAGGATTACATTGATATTAAGGTATCACACTTGCCTGGCATAGTGGCTCACACCTTTAATTCGCATTTGAATTCAAGGCTAGCATGTTCTACATAGTGAGTTCCAGGTTAGCCATGGCTACATAGTGAGAAACTGTCTTTAAAAATGTGAATCTAGAAGGACTGACCATATTCTTGCTGTATTGTCCTATGGTTCTTCAGAGAAACAAAACCAACCGAGTAGATTAAATATAGTTATAGCCATGGGTGATACAGATATGGACGATGCAGGTAGACACACACACACACACACACTCATATCTATATATAGAGAGAGTCAGAGACCGGGAGGGATAGACAGACACAGCAGGATATTTCCAGGGCTTATCTTGCACAATTAGTGAAGTCAAGAAGTCCCACCTCTACTATCAGCAGGTGAGACAGCCAGGAGAGCCTGCGTGGGATAATTCAGTTGTAGTCTCAGTGTCCAAGAATTGCAGTGGGTCACTGAAATATTCCTTAAAAATCCAAACCAGAAGTTCTGATTCTTGAGGGCAGAAGGAGATGGGTGTCAATAAGGGAGAGAAATTTTACTTTGTCTCTATCTTCTGTCTTGCCTGGCTACAAGGGATTAGGTGTGTGCACCGATCTTGGTAAGGGGGAATCTTAACACAGACTACCAACTCAAATACTAATCTAGTCCAGAAACATCCTCACAGACACAATACCGAAAGAATGTTTTACCAGTCAAGTAGGTATCTTCTAACCCAGCCAAACTGACACATAAGCTCATCACACATCTTTAATTTTGGCAAGTGGAGAAAATACTTAGCAAAAATGGGAACATGTGCATATCTGATATTAGCATGCAATGTCTTCTATTTGTGCGGTTAGTTTCTAAGTTCCTTTACATCCATTATTTTATTTGTACCTCACAGCAATACCAATATGACTTACACTCATTTTATTTCTTGCAGGAGAGAAGATGGAGGGGTTGTTTTGCCCAACACCAGTGATTCCCTTTGGATGTGTGACTTCTACAATCCTAAAAGGAGAAGCAATTGCCACACCAGGAATTTCTCTTCTAATTACATCATTCAAACCTCTTCATGGTTTTTCTGTTCTAGATACAAAACAGGAAGACAATGCAAGACTCCCAGCAGATTTTTACCATCAGCATCTGGCTAATTCTTAGTCCCAACCCCCAAAGGCCTTATACAGAAATTCATGGTATCTGGTAACTCAATACTTACTTTATCTTGAGTAGCCACCTTTTAACAATGAAACAGTGATAACCTCAAGATATGAACTTCAAGCTAAATGTGAAAACAATAATTTTATGTTTTTACAGAAGAAGAATGGTGTTCCATTTTATTCTGGGATATGTATGCTCAAAAACTCTCAGTCAGCTAGTTAAGGATGCTGTCAATAGTAAATGAAGGACATGGCATGATGGAGCAAGCAATCTTTCCACTTGTAAATGTGAAGCTCACAGTATGTTAATCTTTCCTAATTCTTTCTTTTTTAAAAAGAATATTGACTTAGTGTGGCTGGAAACATAGCTTGGTTTGTACAGTGCTTGCCTAGAATGTATGAGGTGCTGGGTTTCATCCCAACACTACATAAACTGGGAGTGTTGACTAATGGGTTCATGGCAGTAATCCCAGGACTGGAGAGGTGGAGGCAGGAGAAGCAGAAGTCCAAGGTCATTACTAACTATGTAGTGAGTTCAAGGCCAGCCTGAAGACTTCATATGGGGAAAGGAGGATCTAGTGAAACCTATTTCAGGGGATGCCATTGAACAAGAAATAAGTATGCACGTGAAGATCTTTGAGAAGTACCTCATACACAGCAGGAACTCAATAAACATGGAGATAGAACAAACATTTTCTAAGTTGTCATAAGGAATTAAAGAACCATGAAACTCCATTAAGAATATTAATGGAAGAGCTATTTAAGTATCTTGTTTGTAGCAATACACATATATAACACAATGGCATATTTTGCTTCTCAAAAAAAAAAAAAAACCATGCCATTTAACTCTTTCCATAACAATAAGAAAATTAAGTCAGGAGGCAGAAGGAGTCTTGGTTACATTTAATTACATCTCTGTGACACTGAGTAAGAGTCACATACATTCTCTGAAATCCTGTATTCTCATCAATAAAGTAAAATGATTGTCCCTTTGTTATCTCCTTTCTATATGGTCATGAAAACACATTTATTTGCAAACTTGAATTTCTTTTCATTCTGGTACTGCATCATGATATACATGGTATGAATATACAGCATTATATTATACATTATATACACATCCTGATATCAATACACAACATTGCTCCCAGGTACCAGTCCAAGGCGTCAGAATCTCAGATGCAGGAGAGGAATGCTTGGTTGACATTTCATGCTAAGGTAAACAAGACCTGCTATTTCGAATCCACTGTTTTTCTCTTTTGAAGCCTCCTGCTGTGACAATCATTCTCATTGAATCTGCTGCATTTGAAAGTGCTGCTGGATGATGACTGGATGGGCTCTGGTGGTATGGCCTTTCAGTGCCAGTTTCTGACACTCCAATTCTCTGCTCGGGCCTGCGCTCCTGAGATGTCCAGGGCAATCTCTCAGTCTCAGAGGCGACAGTCTAGATTGAATTAGCTTTGGTTCTCCCATCACTAATTAGATGGTGCAGCAGGCCTGCCTTGGGGCACAGAGACATTGATTCGGCTTCTGTAATAAGTCTAATGAAGTGCCTTCACCCTGTGCCGGGAAGCCAACACTCTAAAAATGGCCCTGAAATGTAAAGCTTAGGAAACATGGGAACTGGGCAATCAATTCAAGACAAGCACAAATTACATCCATACTTTGAAGGATTCACCTACATTTCCCCAACTCTGGGTGGAAAAGGGACCTTGACAGGGCAGATGATTATCCACCAGACTCTGCAGCAGACTGGAATGGAATTATCCTAGAAGTCAGAATCTATCCTGTATTTCTAAAGCCTGGCGGTGCTGCTGTTGTTCCCTGGCTCTGGACAGCTTCTTAACAACATTCCCCGGTCCTCATTACCATGAAATACGACTTTTATTCATAATTGAATATCACTCATTTGCTGACTATTGTCTCCGTGCAAGGAACTTCCATCGTAAGGTGACAAGCAGACGTAGAGAAATGAAAGAAAATTAATGAAGTGCTATAAAATTCCCCACATAAACTTGTGTTTTATACGGCACTATATATTTTGCAGGGCATTTTCATACCTCAGTTCAGGGCCCTGGAACAACAGGCCAAAGGAAAACTATTAGGGAAAGAGAGGGTGCAGATTCACAGCATCTCAGAACTGGAAGGAGTCTAAATTCCATCAACTCTATCATCTTTCACATGGGAAACTTTTTTTTTTTTTTTTTTGCATGCCCGCTGATTGTTTACCAGTTTCTACAGAAATGTGTTGAATACAGGGACAGGTCTAAGGCAAGAGGTGGCTTGCCCTTGACTAAAACAGCCTCACCTGACAGGACCTACTTCGTTATACTTCGTCAACTCCAGTAACTCCTTCCACTTACACATTTGTGTTTGCTGATAGGGATCCCATTGTTCTCGGTGTGGAGAGCAGTGGAAGGATGGGGAATGTAGTTCCGCCATGCAAATCTCCTCCATGCTAAGGAGTCCATTTCTTTCACCCCGGATCATGCTGGGTATTCCCAGTGGGAACTTGTCTTAAACAAAACAAAACAAAACAAAAACAAAACAAAACAAAACAAAACAAAACAAAACAAAACAAAACAAAACAAAACAAAACAAAACATTAGTTTCCTGCTCTTTCTAAAGTGTTTTGTGTGCATGACCTTGGAATTGGCTGGGCCTGCTGACTGTCAAGCTCCTAGTGTATGGGAATGAGGAGGGCTGACATGATCTGTTCGACTTTGTTGGACAGTGTCTTAAAATACAGCAATGAAAACTACAAAGATCTTGCCAGTGTGGTCCCGGGATACAATGATGTTGCTTACCTTGCTCTGGGAATTCTATTTTGAATATTTGTATTTAAACCTTCCAGTGTTGCTTATTTTTATTCGTTTGCATTAGCCAGAGCCTTGCTGTGAGGAGTTTATGAACAAAGATAAAGATAAGATCTAGATATTTTCACATGAACTATTGCTGCTCTCTTTTGCTGCTTCTCACTCCTGTATTTACTATTCCACATGAGAATCGGCAGGTATCATTACTGAACATTATCCACAGGTGGAGTCACTCTTTACCTTGCAGGGATAATTTCTTGTTGTTGTTTTGGTTTTTTGAGACAGAGTTTCTCTGTGTAAGAGTCCTGGCTGTCCTGGAACTCACTTTGCAGATCAGGCTAACCTTGAACTCACAGAGATCTGTCCACCTCTGCCTCCTGAGTGCTGGGATAAAAGGCATGCTCCACCATCCCTGACTACTGGGATAATTTTAAAGCTGTGTTTTGGCTTCATATGTTTAGTCATGTCTCTTGCCTTGCATCCACTTAAAAGCTGGATAAGAATGCCTTTATTTAAGACACTGGTAACAGTTACAATTGGGCTGTAATCTGATAACTCCTAGTAAAGGACTCCCCTGTCACCCCCTCCCCACCAAAAGCCAAGATTCTAAACTGACCTCAAAGTCTCAGAAATCCAGCTATTTGGAGACCCAGAAGAAAAGCACCTGTCCCTATCCCCTGCTACCAGAGATTGCATGCTTCTGACCTCAGGCTCAGACACCCAGTGGTTGCAAAAAGAGCCAACAGACAAAGTAGTCTCAGAAACAGCTTACTTTGTAAAAACATCTTATTTTCCCATTCTGTCCCCAAATGAAACCCCCTCTCCTTTCCCTCTCCTTAGCTACAAAACCACCTGACTTGAAGCATATCGTTTGCATTCTCTCTGCCTCTGCTCATCGTGTGGCTGGGCCCTGTATCCTGATCACAGTAGAGCTGGATCTTGAAGTGCCACCTCTCAGGTTAAATTAAGCCTGCTCTAGCTGTCAATGTCACCGGAATTCTCATCCTTTCTTTCTTTCTACAGGCTGAATTCTTACATCTTATAAACTCCCCCTGTAAAAAAAACATTCGACTTTGAAAATATTTTCTGGATAACAACATTTACTGGAATCCATCTTCTTGTTGTTACTCTAGAAATACAAAGAAAATAATAAAACAAGCTGAGCTTACCCTCCCAGTTGGTAAAATAAGGCGCTGGGTTTCGAACTCAGGACTTTGTGTATGCTAGGCAGCAACTTTTATTGACTGAATTACTTCCCTAGGCAGACTTACTTATTGTGTTTCTCTAAATGGCTTCATTTTTCAGGGTCTCATGTCATCCAGGCTGATGAGTTTAGACTCAATATGTAGCTGAGCATGGCCTCGGACTTCTGATTCTCCTGCCTCCACCTCTTAATGCTGAGATTACAAGCATGTGCCACCAAGCCTGTTTATATTGTGCCACAGACTGGACTGGTGTCTCATGCAGAATTCTAGGCCAGCGTTCCACCCACTGAGCCACACCCCCAGCCTACCTTGCTGCTCTTGAGAGAAGCTCACTGTCCAATGAGATTCTGGATCCCAAGATCATGCAAGGACATCTCCTCCCAGGGCTATACTCTCTCCGTTAGACTAATTAGGGGAGCAGAGTCCATGCCTATGAACCTGAGGTGAGTCTGTGTTGCCATCTAATTAGGGATGAGAGAACCACAGCTAATTCAATCTGGTCTGTCACTCTCTAGACTGAGGAATTAACCCAGACATCGTGAGAACGCCAGCTCTGCCTCGGCATTATCAGAAGGGACAGCTGATGTTGCAAGAGTTTTATTCTGTCCTGAGGAGCTTGTTGAGTCAGGGCAGAGTGAACTCCTAAAATGTACACATGGGAAGGAGACAAAGCAAACTCATCAGAAGCAGTGCAAGACAGCAATACCTCAGACTGAGGACATAAACAGTACTGAAAAATACTTCTGTTAATGGGTTGGTACTTCAGAGTTGATCCAATGGCAACCTATAAATCAGCTTATAAATCTAATTTATAAGTTCAAGAATGCCAAAATCCAAAGCAAATAGAAACATTTTATAAGCGTCTATATAAGGAAGCTATGAGTAGCACACCTTAAAAATAAATATAATCTATTAAAATAATTGAGCCCCCTTTCAATGTCCAGTGTGACCTTGTATGTCCCACAGGCCCTTCTGCCAACCTACCACACTTATTTAATTCACTGGCATAGCCTTGTCCTTTCCTTGAGTTCTAGCATTCTATGAAAAGACCAGTCAATAAATGTTTATTAGATGGCTTTTATGAAGCAGGCTTTGAAAAAAAAACAACAACCAACCAACCAACCAACCAACCAAACAAACAAACAAAAATCTTGCACTCTAGCATGGATAAACAAAATCAGAGAAATACATCAACAGATAAAATAATTTTGGTTGTTGATAAATGCTGCAAAGAAAATGAAACATGGAAGGCTGAAATTTGATGGCCAACTTTTACCCTGGACAAAAATCAAAGACCTCAAGAGACCACAAACTTTGAAATCGCTAGAGAAGAACACAGTGGGAGTATGACAAGATGTAGGCACAGGCTGTGGCTTTTTGAATGAGACTTCAATAGCAAGTAGATAATAGCAAGGACCAGCCAAAAGGGGGAGAAAAGATAGATGCTTGTGGATAGAGTTAGTACGGTAAAGGACGTTATGTACTTACATACAAATGTCAGAATGCTAGCTCTTATTCTGTAGAATTAAAGGAATACTAAGGGAAATCAACAAACTAAACATAAAAACTTAAGTAACAAAAAAGAAATAATAGTAAACTGCATGTGGGATGTGGAAACATGTGTCTTCATGCTGGACTAATGAGAAGCCATTGCTGTCAGTTCTGAGGGAAGAAATCTGCTTGGCACAGGAAAGGGACTCTTTCATTCTTTTGTACTGATTCCTTTTCTGTTTATGTGCATGCATGTGTGTGTCTGTGAGTATATGTCAAACGTGTGCAGATACCAGAAGAGGACATTGGCATCCTTGAGGCTGGAGTACGGTAGACTGAAACCTTCTATGTAGGGATTGGAAT